CTGATCTCGAAAATTTAGGTGGATAGGGTCATTAATTGCGAAAAGTGAAAAGTTTAAGAAGGTATGATCGTTGCATATCAAATGAAAGGTACAGAGTGCATTACAAATACCAGACTTTTAAGGGAAAGACATTTCAATTGTTTTACAAACAATTGAGATACGAGTGTTAATAATATATTATTTGAATATAGTATGTTGAAGTGTGTGTTGAAAAATTCGTTCATTTATTTTTGTTCAAGGTATTTAATATAAAAACAACCATGGCTCAAGCTTTCTTTTTTAGCTCGCCTGGCCGAAAGGCCAAGTGAGCTTTTCTCATCACTTGGCGTCCGTCGTCGTCCATTAACTTTGACAAAAATCTCCTCTTAAACTACTGGGCCAAATTTAATGAAACTTGGCCACAATCATTTTTAGGATATCTAGTTTAGGAAGGCTGTTCCATTCACGAATAACAGATGGTAGAAATAATTTTGATAAAAAGAAGTTCTACAGTTCATGTTTTGAACATTAAATTAATGCCCTTCTAGTATTATAGTTATAAACTTGATAAAGTTGTTGAGGAACGAGACTACAAAGATAATCGGGAGCTTGATCATGAAATATTTCGAGAAATTTGATATTTTACAAATGTATGTCTGGATCTTCTTTCACTCAGAGATACCCAACCAGTATCATTATAAAGTTTAGTTTTAGAACAAAGTTTGGTGGCACCATTGACGATACGAGCCGCTTCTATTTGGATGCCCTCTAGTTTGTCCTTCAAATAAGTTGGTATGTTATCCCACACAGTATCCACATATTCGAGAATAGGCCTGATGAAACTGATATAAATAACTTGTAGATGATTACGCGATAACTTAAACTTTAAGCTCCTCATAAGATTTAAGCGCGGCGTAGCTTTATCAATAATATACTAGTAATTTACATGACTTTCCCAACAGCCGTTTTCTTGAAAAATTAACCCTAAATGTTTATGTTTTTCAACCTCTTGTATCAGCGTATCATTCATATATATTGGTGGGTTATGGGGTTTTGCTGTTTTTCTAGATATGGTCATGGTTTCGGTTTTTATTGGATTAAAATTAACGAGCCATTGTTGAGACCATAAGTGAATTTTTTTCTATATCAGAGTTCATTAATTCAGCCGTAGCATACTCGTCCTTAACAACTATATATAATGATGTATCGTCAGCGAAAAGTCTGATGTTGCATGATATGTCACATACAATATCATTTATAAATAATAAAAATAATACAGGGCCTAAAATTGAGCCCTGGGGGACACCGGCTTTAATACTCTAAACATCAGAGGTCTGTCCTCCTATGACAACTCTTTGTCTTCTCTCAGATAAATGACTTTTGAACCATTTCAGGAAGTCCCCTCTTATTCCAGATTTTTCTAGTTTATGAAGGAGGCCTTCATGCCAGACCCGGTCGAACGCTTTACTGATATCACAAAACACAACTCTGATTTCCTTTCCAGAGTCAAGGGCTTTAGCAATATCGTGGGTAATATGAATAAGTTGATTAACAGTACTATCTCCAGGCATAAAACCTGATTGCATCTGTGTAATTATTTTATAGCGAGAAAGAAAATTAAATAAATATTTAAAAACACATTTTTCCATCGTTTTACCAATAAAAGATAACAGAGAAATTGGTCTATAGTTGGATAAAATTTCTTGAGAACCACTCTTGAAAAATGGTATTACATTTGCTATTTTCCAGTCATATGGATAAATGCACAATTGAAGTGACTTATTGAATAACAGAGCTAGGGGATAGCTTAATTCGCGAGCCGCATATTTAAGAAATCTTGGACTAATGATGTCGGGGCCTGTTGCCTTAGACACGTCTAACAAGAGGAGTTGGTCATAAACTTCCTCTTGCGTTATAATTATATTATCTAAAGTATGAATTACGTCATCTAAGTTTATTTCTGGAATATTTGTAGATGAGTCATCAACGCTCGATTTGCCTTATCTTTATTATCGTCTAAGTAGGTCTAAGTAGGTATCATTTAATAGGATAGGGGGGAGGGGGTGGGGTAGTCCGAGGGTTTGGAAGGAAGCCCAGCCAAGTTACGCAATTTTTTTCACCAATTCTTAATGGAATCTACATGTGAATCTAATGATTTACATTGTTTTTCAAAATAATGGGTTTTTGCTTGTTTAATCAAATTTACACATTCATTCCTAATTTTCAAACTGGTTTATATGGTTTGGTTGTCGGCTATCATATTCAGGATATGTTTGATGTCAATTTATCTATACCACAGGCAACATACTCCAACCAAGCTCTTGGAGTGAAACAGTTTGAAACCTAAACTTTATACTTGTTCAAACAAATCTCACTTTTTCATTTCTAGCTTATCCTTTTGTAAATAAGCCAAAATAAAACGAAGTTGTTGTTTTGTTGTCTTTAAACGGTTGTGTGATAGACAGAAGGAAGCAGGAATAACAGGGTCAATGCAATATAGTAGTTCATGTCCAGTACGCAATTAAAAAAATGCTGTTTTTGCAATCGCCTGTCCGTTGAATACGGATATTGATTTTAAGAAAAATAATGTGTACAAAGCTTGTTTTTGTTGTTGTTGCTAATAACATGTCGTCCTATTTTGTCGCCAAACACGCTCTAGGCCTCTGTAAACTAGACCCTCTAACTTGGCTTATGAATACAGATTGCCGCGACGCCTTGAAAATGAATTGACGGAATTCCCAGAAACTTGCAATGCTTCTTCTATAGATGGGACACGAAGTTGTGCACCTGCTACTTTAACTTTTATTAAATATTCCATAGAAACTTATACATAAATGATAAAGCCAAAACATTAATTTTGTTCAGTAAATTTAAACAGTCAATGAGTGTGGAGCAATACAGATTTACTGGTCTAAGTGAAATCTAGGTCACAACAACAAATGGAAGTTTTTAACGACCTTGAATGGCTAACGCTCGGGATAAAATTCGAATATCACGGGCCAGTCCATGTGTAAATGTCCAACAAATCTAGGGCTTCCATGAATTATTTCTTAATTTTAGTCATTAAGATTAATGCCTGGACACATTTTTCAGGATTTAAGCTTAATTCCTAGGATTTATAAGATTAATGCCTAATATCATTTAGGCAATAGAATTACTGCCTATAGGCGTTAGCTTATTGCCTAGGATTTGGGCTTAATGCCTAATTTCACTTATTGCCGCCAACATATAACGTGACGGTACCCAAATTGCACCTATTTTGACAGCTTTTTCACCTACGTTTATTTATGATCCAGACAAAAGTTTCCATTCTGTGTTTATTTTGTAGATGTGTCATTATAAGTCCCCTACCGACAAAGTCGAAGGGGACTTTAGGTTTGCACTCCGTCCGTCTGTCCGTCTGTCCGTCTGTCCGACTGTCTGTCTGTCCATCCGTCAGTCCGGCAAATCAGCTTTCCACACATTTTTTCTTCGTTCTTGAAGATATTGATTTGATATTTGGTATATAGTTTTATCATGACAAGTTATAGATCAAGTTCGAATTTTGTTCCGGTCTGATGATTTAGTCCAGAGTTATGGACCATAACTCTGGACCATATCTAATGTTAGATTACTTTGTTAAACCATATTTCTGTGCAAAGGGAGATAACTCATTTTTTCAAAATACATTCTTTGTTAAATTATTTGAAGAATTTTTTGGCAGGTTTGTTTGTTATTTAGTATAAACTAATTTTCTGAATGCTATATCAAAAAAGTTATGAAGATAAATCCTTTAATTAGAAAATAATCTATTTTTATTAATGTATATATTTCAATACATTACATTGTGTAGATAAAAGTTGTTGACATTTTATAGATAAGTTACAAATCTATATTAGTTTTAGTAATTTGTGACAAATGAAAAAAAATATTTGGAACTATCAATTATATCTGATTATAATTTGAAAATAGATATACACTGTATTACATCATGTCTAGTTCTAGAGAACTATTAATCATATCTAATGTTTTTTTTTTCATCATGCTTATAAGATATTGATTGATAATTGGTATATAGTTTTATCATGACAAGTTACAGATCAAGTTCAAATTTTTGTTTCGGTCTAATAATTTTGTGCAGAGTTATGGTCCTTGGACTTGAAAAATTCACTCATATAATCTGTTTTCAACACTGTTTTTAGTCATGCTTGAAGATAATGACATGATATTTACTTTTTGTTGATACCATGACAAGTTATAGAACAAGTTAGCATTTTGTTCCAGTATAATGAATTTTTTCCCGGTAGGGGACTATGTATTGCCATGCAATACTCTCAGAGTCAGAATGCTTGTTTACTATATGGTTCCACCAATTTATTTTTGAATCCATATTGAATCATAGAAAAATAGGTTTCAACCGACCTCCAAACGATCCATTATTCTGTAATGAGGAGTAACCAAATTACATCCATGCTTAAATTCAAATCCTTAAAAATCGAATAACAGATGTTTTGTTTTATTTCTTCAAATATTTAGAACAATTTGACATTAGCCTATGCTTAGTCATTATGTTTTACGAAATGGATGCTTGTAACAAATTTAATTTGCTCATTTTTAAAAGATAACTTTTTGTGAACGTCGCATGGCGACGTTTTCGTAGATTTACTTTTTCCAGTGAATGCTTCATCTGTTGATATATACTGTGAACGTTTTGTGTATATTTGAATATATTTACCTTTGTTGAACCAGGCTGAAGCTAGCGAACAATTACTAGCGAACAATAAGGCGATATATCTAAAAACCAAAAAAATGAATAAGACAGCAACGGCCGTTAAATGAAAAATATTTAAAAAGGCAGAAATTCCGTCCAAATATTGCAATTTCAACTTTATCATGAAATGGTATTAATCCCATCCATTGATAAAACTAGTCACATCTTTTTTAGGCTAATATTCAGTACCACAATAAATCTGCATCTGTCAACGGATTATTTGTAGGTGTAAGACCACCAATGCACCCACTTCAATTTTTTAAAACGTATGTAAAAGTAGTCCTTCTCTGTAAAATATAGCACCTTTGATGTCATTGTTTAATTGAAGTAAGATACACATTTGCAGAAATGGGGGTTGGCCTATTCCATGGCTTCTAGAGAAAAATAATGAGGGGTGTCACGGGGTATGACTGTATAGGTCTTGTAGAGGAGAAACAGTCGCATCTTTTGCGCAAGGTATCGAAGGGCGCTATGTTCAAAAATCTGAAACTAGAGCTCAAAATTTGAAAACAAATTGTTAAAAACAGGGGAGATTGGCCTATTCCATGGCTTCTAGAGAAAAATAATGAGGGGTGTCACGGGGTATGACTATATAGGTCTTGTAGAGGAGAAACAGGCGCATCTTTTGCGCAAGGTATCGAAGGCCGCTATGTTCAAAAATCTGAAACTAGAGCTCAAAATTTGAAAAAACAAATTGTTAATAACAGGGGGTTTGGCTTATCCCATGGCTTCTAGAGAAAAATAATGAGGGGTGTCACGGGGTATGACTATATAGGTCTTGCAGAGGAGAAACAGTCGCATCTTTTGCGCAAGGTATCGAAGGGCGCTATGTTCAAAAATCTGAAACTAGAGCTCAAAATTTGAAAAAAAATTGTTAAAAACAGGGGGGTTGGCCTATCCCATGGCTTCTAGAGAAAAAAAATGAGGTGTAGCACGGGGTATGACTATATAGGTCTTGCAGAGGAGACACAGTCGCATCTTTTGCGCAAGGTATCGAAGGGCGCTATGTTTAAAAATCTGAAACTAGAGCTCTAAATTTGAAAAAAAAATGTTAAAAACCGGGGGGTTGGCCTATCCCATGGCTTCTAGAGAAAAATAATGAGAGGTGTCACGGGGTATGACTATATAGGTCTTGTAGAGGAGAAACAGTCGCATCTTTTACGCAAGGTATCGAAGGGCGCTATGTTAAAAAATCTGAAACTAGAGCTCAAAATTTGAAAAAAAATTGTTAAAAACAGGGGAGGTTGGCCTATTCCATGGTTTCTAGAGAAAAATAATGAGGGGTGTCACGGGGTATGACTATATAGGTCTTGCAGAGGAGAAACAGTCGCATCTTTTGCGCAAGGTATCGAAGGGCGCTATGTTCAAAAATCTGAAACTAGAGCTCAAAATTTGAAAAAAATTTGTTAAAAACAAGGGGTTGGCCTATCCCATGGCTTCTAGAGAAAAATAATGAGGGGTGTCACGGGTTATGACTATATAGGTCTTGTAGAGGAGAAACAGTCGCATCTTTTGCGCAAGGTATCGAAGGGCGCTATGTTCAAAAATCTGAAACTAGAGCTCAAAATTTGAAAAAAAAATGTTAAAAACAGAGGGGTTGGCCTATCCCATGGCTTCTAGAGAAAAAAAAATGAGGGATGTCACGGGGTATGACTATATAGGTCTTGTAGAGGAGAAACAGTCGCATCTTTTGCGCAAGGTATCGAAGGGCGCTATGTTCAAAAATCTGAAACTAGAGCTCAAAATTTGAAAAAAAAATTGTTAAAAACAGGGGAGGTTGGCCTATTCCATGGCTTCCAGAGAAAAAAATGAGGGATGTCACGGGGTATGACTATATAGGTCTTGTAGAGGAGAAACAGTCGCATCTTTTGCGCAAGGTATCGAAGGGCGCTATGTTCAAAAATCTGAAACTAGAGCTCAAAATTTGAAAAAAAATTGTTAAAAACAGGGGGGTTGGCCTATCCCATGGCTTCTAGAGAAAAAAAATGAGGGGTGTCCAGGGTATGACTATATAGGTCTTGTATAGGAGAAACAGTCGCATCTTTTGCGCAAGGTATCGAAGGGCGCTATGTTAAAAAATCCGAAACTAAAGCTCAAAATTTGAAAAAAAAATGTTAAAAACATGGGGGTTGGCCTATCCCATGGCTTCTAGAGAAAAATAATGAGGGGTGTCACGGGGTATGACTATATAGGTCTTGTAGAGGAGAAACATTCGCATCTTTTGCGCAAGGTATCGAAGGGCGCTATGTTCAAAAATCTGAAACTAGAGCTCAAAATTTGAAAAAAAATTGTTAAAAACAGGGGAGGTTGGCCTATTCCATGGCTTTTAGAGAAAAATAATGAGGGGTGTCACGGGGTATGACTATATAGGTCTTGTAGAGTAGAAACATGCGCATCTTTTGCGCAAGGTATCGAAGGGCGCTATGTTCAAAAATCTGAAACTAGAGCTCAAAGTTTGAAAACAAATTGTTAATAACAGGGGGGTTGGCCTATCCCATGGCTTCTAGAGAAAAATAATGAGGGGTGTCACGGGGTATGACTATATAGGTCTTGCAGAGGAGAAACAGTCGCATCTTTTGCGCAAGGTATCGAAGGGCGCTATGTTTAAAAATCTGAAACTAGAGCTCAAAATTTGAAAAAAAATTGTTAAAAACAGGGGGGTTGGCTTATCCCATGGCTTCTAGAGAAAAATAATGAGGGGTGTCACGGGTTATGACTATATAGGTCTTGTAGAGGAGAAACAGTCGCATCTTTTGCGCAAGGTATCGAAGGGCGCTATGTTAAAAAATCTGAAACTAGAGCTCAAAATTTGAAGAAAAAAATGTTAAAAACAGGGGGATTGGCCTATCCCATGGCTTCTAGAGAAAAAAAATGAGGGAGGTCACGGGGTATGACTATATAGGTCTTGTAGAGGAGAAACAGTCGCATCTTTTGCGCAAGGTATCGAAGGGCGCTATGTTCAAAAATCTGAAACTAGAGCTCAAAATTTGAAAACAAATTGTTAAAAACAGGGGAGGTGGCCTATTCCATGGCTTCTAGAAAAAAAAATGAGGGACGTCACGGGGTATGACTATACAGGTCTTGTAGAGGAGAAACAGTCGCATCTTTTGCGCAAGGTATCGGAGGGCGCTATGTTCAAAAATCTGAAACTAGAGCTCAAAATTTGAAAACAAATTGTTAAAAACAGGGGAGGTTGGCCTATTCCATGGCTTCTAGAGAAAAAAAATGAGGGGTGTCACGGGGTATGACTATATAGGTCTTGTAGAGGAGAAACAGTCGCATCTTTTGCGCAAGGTATCGAAGGGCGCTACGTTCAAAAATCTGAAACTAGAGCTCAAAATTTGAAAAAAAATTGTTAAAAACAGGGGAGGTTGGCCTATTCCATGGCTTCTAGAGAAAAATAATGAGGGGTGTCACGGGGTATGACTATATAGGTCTTGTAGAGGAGAAACAGGCGCATCTTTTGCGCAAGGTATCGAAGGGCGCTATGTTCAAAAATCTGAAACTAGAGCTCAAAATTTGAAAACAAATTGTTAATAACTGGGGGGTTGGCCTATTCCATGGCTTCTAGAGAAAAATAATGAGGGGTGTCACGGGGTATGACTATATAGGTCTTGTAGAAGAGAAACAGGCGCATCTTTTGCGCAAGGTATCGAAGGGCGCTATGTTCAAAAATCTGAAACTAGAGCTCAAAATTTGAAAACAAATTGTTAATAACTGGGGGGTTGGCCTATTCCATGGCTTCTAGAGAAAAATAATGAGGGGTGTCACGGGTATGACTATATAGGTCTTGCAGATGAGAAACAGTCGCATCTTTTGCGCAAGGTATCGAAGGGCGCTATGTTCAAAAAACTGAAACTAGAGCTCAAAATTTGAAAAAAAATTGTTAAAAACAGGGGGGTTGGCCTATCCCATGGCTTCTAGAGAAAAATAATGAGGGATGTCACGGGGTATGACTATATAGGTCTTGTAGAGGAGAAACAGTCGCATCTTTTGCGCAAGGTATCGAAGGGCGCTATGTTCAAAAATCTGAAACTAGAGCTCAAAATTTGAAAAAAAATTGTTAAAAACAGGGGAGGTTGGCCTATTCCATGGCTTCCAGAGAAAAAAAATGAGGGATGTCACGGGGTATGACTATATAGGTCTTGTAGAGGAGAAACAGTCGCATCTTTTGCGCAAGGTATCGAAGGGCGCTATGTTCAAAAATCTGAAACTAGAGCTCAAAATTTGAAAAAAAATTGTTAAAAACAGGGGGGTTGGCCTATCCCATGGCTTCTAGAGAAAAAAAATGAGGGGTGTCCAGGGTATGACTATATAGGTCTTGTATAGGAGAAACAGTCGCATCTTTTGCGCAAGGTATCGAAGGGCGCTATGTTAAAAAATCCGAAACTAAAGCTCAAAATTTGAAAAAAAAATGTTAAAAACATGGGGTTGGCCTATCCCATGGCTTCTAGAGAAAAATAATGAGGGGTGTCACGGGGTATGACTATATAGGTCTTGTAGAGGAGAAACAGTCGCATCTTTTGCGCAAGGTATCGAAGGGTGCTATGTTCAAAAATCTGAAACTAGAGCTCAAAATTTGAAAAAAAATTGTTAAAAACAGGGGAGGTTGGCCTATTCCATGGCTTTTAGAGAAAAATAATGAGGGGTGTCACGGGGTATGACTATATAGGTCTTGTAGAGGAGAAACAGGCGCATCTTTTGCGCAAGGTATCGAAGGGCGCTATGTTCAAAAATCTGAAACTAGAGCTCAAAATTTGAAAACAAATTGTTAATAACAGGGGGGTTGGCCTATCCCATGGCTTCTAGAGAAAAATAATGAGGGGTGTCACGGGGTATGACTATATAGGTCTTGCAGAGGAGAAACAGTCGCATCTTTTGCGCAAGGTATCGAAGGGCGTTATGTTTAAAAATCTGAAACTAGAGCTCAAAATTTGAAAAAAAATTGTTAAAAACAGGGGGGTTGGCCTATCCCATGGCTTCTAGAGAAAAATAATGAGGGGTGTCACGGGTTATGACTATATAGGTCTTGTAGAGGAGAAACAGTCGCATCTTTTGCGCAAGGTATCGAAGGGCGCTATGTTAAAAAATCTGAAACTAGAGCTCAAAATTTGAAGAAAAAAATGTTAAAAACAGGGGGATTGGCCTATCCCATGGCTTCTAGAGAAAAAAAATGAGGGAGGTCACGGGGTATGACTATATAGGTCTTGTAGAGGAGAAACAGTCGCATCTTTTGCGCAAGGTATCGAAGGGCGCTATGTTCAAAAATCTGAAACTAGAGCTCAAAATTTGAAAACAAATTGTTAAAAACAGGGGAGGTGGCCTATTCCATGGCTTCTAGAAAAAAAAATGAGGGACGTCACGGGGTATGACTATACAGGTCTTGTAGAGGAGAAACAGTCGCATCTTTTGCGCAAGGTATCGGAGGGCGCTATGTTCAAAAATCTGAAACTAGAGCTCAAAATTTGAAAACAAATTGTTAAAAACAGGGGAGGTTGGCCTATTCCATGGCTTCTAGAGAAAAAAAATGAGGGGTGTCACGGGTTATGACTATATAGGTCTTGTAGAGGAGAAACAGTCGCATCTTTTGCGCAAGGTATCGAAGGGCGCTACGTTCAAAAATCTGAAACTAGAGCTCAAAATTTGAAAAAAAATTGTTAAAAACAGGGGAGGTTGGCCTATTCCATGGCTTCTAGAGAAAAATTATGAGGGGTGTCACGGGGTATGACTATATAGGTCTTGTAGAGGAGAAACAGGCGCATCTTTTGCGCAAGGTATCGAAGGGCGCTATGTTCAAAAATCTGAAACTAGAGCTCAAAATTTGAAAACAAATTGTTAATAACTGGGGGGTTGGCCTATTCCATGGATTCTAGAGAAAAATAATGAGGGGTGTCACGGGTATGACTATATAGGTCTTGCAGATGAGAAACAGTCGCATCTTTTGCGCAAGGTATCGAAGGGCACTATGTTCAAAAAACTGAAACTAGAGCTCAAAATTTGAAAAAAAATTGTTAAAAACAGGGGGGTTGGCCTATCCCATGGCTTCTAGAGAAAAATAATGAGGGGTGTCACGGGGTATGACTATATAGGTCTTGTAGAGGAGAAACAGTTGCATCTTTTGCGCAAGGTATCGAAGGGCGCTATGTTAAAAAATCTGAAACTAGAGCTCAAAATTTGAAAAAAAAATGTTAAAAACAGGGGGGTTGGCCTATCCCATGTCTTATAGAGAAAAATAATGAGGGGTGTCACGGGGTATGACTATATAGGTCTTGTAGAGGAGAAACAGTCGCATCTTTTGCGCAAGGTATCGAAGGGCGCTATGTTCAAAAATCTGAAACTAGAGCTCAAAATTTGAAAAAAAATTGTTAAAAACAGGGGAGGTTGGCCTATACCATGGCTTCTAGAGAAAAATAATGAGGGGTGTCACGGGGTATGACTATATAGGTCTTGTAGAGGAGAAACAGTCGCATCTTTTGCGCAAGGTATCGAAGGGCGCTACGTTCAAAAATCTGAAACTAGAGCTCAAAATTTGAAAAAAAATTGTTAATAACTGGGAGGTTGGCCTATTCCATGGCTTCTAGAGAAAAATAATGAGGGGTGTCACGGGTATGACTATATAGGTCTTGCAGATGAGAAACAGTCGCATCTTTTGTGCAAGGTATCGAAGGGCGCTATGTTCAAAAAACTGAAACTAGAGCTCAAAATTTGAAAAAAAATTGTTAAAAACAGGGGGGTTGGCCTATCCCATGGCTTCTAGAGAAAAATAATGAGGGGTGTCACGGGGTATGACTATATAGGTCTTGTAGAGGAGAAACAGTTGCATCTTTTGCGCAAGGTATCGAAGGGCGCTATGTTAAAAAATCTGAAACTAGAGCTCAAAATTTGAAAAAAAAATGTTAAAAACAGGGGGGTTGGCCTATCCCATGTCTTCTAGAGAAAAATAATGAGGGGTGTCACGGGGTATGACTATATAGGTCTTGTAGAGGAGAAACAGTCGCATCTTTTGCGCAAGGTATCGAAGGGCGCTATGTTCAAAAATCTGAAACTAGAGCTCAAAATTTGAAAAAAAAATTGTTAAAAACAGGGGAGGTTGGCCTATACCATGGCTTCTAGAGAAAAATAATGAGGGGTGTCACGGGGTATGACTATATAGGTCTTGTAGAGGAGAAACAGGCGCATCTTTTGCGCAAGGTATCGAAGGGCGCTATGTTCAAAAATCTGAAACTAGAGCTCAAAATTTGAAAACAAATTGTTAATAACAGGGGGGTTGGCCTATCCCATGGCTTCTAGAGAAAATTAATGAGGGGTGTCACGGGGTATGACTATATAGGTCTTGCAGAGGAGAAACAGTCGCATCTTTTGCCCAAGGTATCGAAGGGCGCTATGTTCAAAAATCTGAAACTAGAGCTCAAAATTTGAAAAAAAATTGTTAAAAACAGGGGGGTTGGCCTATCCCATGGCTTCTAGAGAAAAAAAAATGAGGGGTGTCACGGGGTATGACTATATAGGTCTTGTAGAGGAGAAACAGTCGCATCTTTTGCGCAAGGTATCGAAGGGCGCTATTTTCAAAAATCTGAAACTAGAGCTCAAAATTTGAAAAAAAATTGTTAAAAACAGGGGAGGTTGGCCTATTCCATGGCTTCTAGAGAAAAATAATGAGGGATGTCACGGGGTATGACTATATAGGTCTTGTAGAGGAGAAACAGGCGCATCTTTTGCGCAAGGTATCGAAGGGCGCTATGTTCAAAAATCTGAAACTAGAGCTCAAATTTTGAAAACAAATTGTTAAAAACAGGGGGGTTGGCCTATCCCATAGCTTCTAGAGAAAAATAATGAGGGGTGTCAGGGGGTATGACTATATAGGTCTTGTAGAGGAGAAACAATAGCATCTTTTGCGCAAGGTATCGAAGGGCGCTATGTTCAAAAATCTGAAACTAGAGCTCAAAATTTGAAAACAAATTGTTAAAAACAGGGGAGGTTGGCCTATTCCATGGCTTCTAGAGAAAAAGAATGAGGGGTGTCACGGGGTATGACTATATAGGTCTTGTAGAGGAGAAACAGTCGCATCTTTTGCGCAAGGTATCGAAGGGCGCTATGTTCAAAAATCTGAAACTAGAGCTCAAAATTTGAAAACAAATTGTTAAAAACAGGGGGGTTGGCCTATCCCATGGCTTCTAGAGAAAAATAATGAGGGGTGTCACGGGGTATGACTATATAGGTCTTGTAGAGGAGAAACAGTCGCATCTTTTGCGCAAGGTATCGAAGGGCGCTATGTTCAAAAATCTGAAACTAGAGCTCAAAATTTGAAAAAAAATGTTAAAAACAGGGGAGGTTGGCCTATTCCATGGCTTCTCGAGAAAAATAATGAGGGGTGTCACGGGGTATGACTATATAGGTCTTGTAGAGGAGAAACAGTTGCATCTTTTGCGCAAGGTATCGAAGGGCGCTATGTTCAAAAATCTGAAACTAGAGCTCAAAATTTGAAAACAAATTGTTAAAAACAGGGGGGTTGGCCTATCCCATGGCTTCTAGAGAAAAATAATGAGGGGTGTCACGGGGTATGACTATATAGGTCTTGTAGAGGAGAAACAGGCGCATCTTTTGCGCAAGGTATCGACGGGCGCTATGTTAAAAAATCTGAAACTAGAGCTTAAAATTTGAAAAAAAAAATGGAAAAAAAACAGAGGGGGTTGGCCTATTGGTGTTATACCTCCATTGATTTTCCCCTATCATTTTTTTTAAATTTGCAGTTTTCAAAAAATTGTGGAGATTTTATCTTTGTTTCAAATTAAAAAGTTAACATAAAATTTCATTGCATATAAAAAAAATAACCATAACTGTCAGTTAACCAATCAAATGCCCCCCCCCCCCACCTTATTTAACCTGTGTACAAGCTTTAGTAACCATGTAACCTCAAGTTTCCAAAATATTCTATAGAAACCCCAAATAAAAAAAATGATGCTTTGAAATACTCAAGATACATGAATATGTTTATGACCCAGAAATGTTTTACTGCAATAAAATGATGGATTAATTACCTACAACTGTCAAATTCAAGGGAATATTTGTTTTGACCTATTTTCGTATGCAACCGGATGTGACGTGCCATGATTGTTGGTATTACACCTGAAGAAGACATTTTTATTTAATAAACTGAAAGGGACCTTTTTCCTTTGTAATACTGTTTTTTTCAAGCATTCCTGTCATGTTTTGTCATAATCAGTTCAATAGTTTGAGAAAAATCTAGTATAATGTACGACGACATCTTCAGCGATTCGTGCAACATTTCTTCGAAAAATCCAAACCAAGCCGCATCATGATAGAATATAGTGTGGACCAATAATGATCAAATATTTATCTCATCTGCCTACAAACAGTTGAATATGATACAAAAGATGACTTTAGGATGACAAATACCACTAATGGACCCCTTTGTCTTCTTTATAAGGTCTCTTTTGGTCCATTTATACATGTCATTTCCTCAAAATTTCAACTTTTCAGGCCAATAAATAAAAATAATGAAGTAACTTTCACTCATTTATGATAGAAATGTTATAATAAATTACATTGAGTGATTGAAGTATTCAAGCAGAATGAACAATCCATATAAAAGTTTACTGGAGGTTTTAATAAGTCCTTACGTAAAACTTAAATTTACGCTGCGTTCCAAAGAGGGACATAAAAAGCTTCTCTATTAGTGAATAATTTGTTGGTACTGCTTTAAAAAATAATTAGATTTACTTATAACTATATATATTAATTAAAATATTTCTGAGAGAAAACTTTCTATTATGGCAGAATATAAGAAATAAGGATAAAAAGCTCCCCAAAACACCGTGAAGTATGGCTTGTTCTGTTAACTAATATTCATGGTAGAGTCCTATTTCAAGGAAATGTTCTCATAAAATGTGTTTTGGAGACTCAATCCACTCAGAATATTTCATTGTTTATAATATTTCACTTGAATAGCAAGAAATTTTAACACATGAGAGTACTCACAAGGTCAAAGGTGCATGTACAGCACCCCATATTAGGTGTAATACCACCATTGAATTTCCCCTATTAGTCTTTTTAAAATTTGCACTTTTCAAAAAAATTGTGCAGAATTTATCTTTGTTTCAAATTGAAAAATACCTGGCATGAGTAAAGTTTAATCCTGTCCAGTACTATAGAAAAAAATTCACATAAAATTTCATTGCATATAAGAAAATAACCATAACTGTCAGTTAACCAATCAAATGTCCCCCCTTATTTAACCTGTGTACAAGCTTTAGTAACCATGTAACCTCAAGTTTCCAAAATATTCAATAGAAACTCCAAATAAAAAAAATGATGTTTTGGAATACCCAAGATACATGAATATGTTTATGACCCAGAAATGTTTTACTGCAATAAAATGATGGATTAATTACCTACAACTGTCAAATTCAAGGGAATATTTTTTTCGACCTATTTTCGTATGCAACAGGATGTAACGTACCATGCGTTGGTGGTATTACACCTATTCAATGGCTTCTAGAGAAACAAATAGTGTGGAGTTTCACGGGTATAGCTATATAGGTCTTGTAGAGGAGAAACATGCGCATGGTTTGCGCAAGGTTTCGAGTTGCGCTTTGTCCAAAAACTAAAACTAGGGCTCGGGATTTGAAATTGATTTGGAAAAACAACGGGAATTCGCCTATTACATGGCCTCTGGAAAAAATAATGAGGGATGTCGCGGGGTAAGACTAAAAAGGTCTTGTAGAGGGCACACAGGCGCATAGTTTGCGCAAGGCTTCAAGAGGTGCTATCTTTAATTATTTCGAAAGGAACTAAAATTTAGTGAGGAACAAAGCCAACTCAAATGTCAGACAAGAACGTGAAAACCGTGTAAAAGACATATCAGAGTCAGCAAAGAAGAATTTCTTGTCATATGAAGTCGAAATGAAAATCCAAATTCCCCCATCCGAATTACATCATAAAAGAGATTGCAAAATGTATAATGTAAGTACTGATAAAGAGAAAGCTGAATACTGGCTGAATTTTTTTCAAGGGTATTTCAAAAAGAAAACGATGAAGATGAAAGAACTTTAGTGCGAAGGCCATCTGGTATACAACCTAAAGTTCTATATACTATTTCAGACTTAATAGACAGTCTACTTTGTATTATTTTCAACAGTTTATTAATATCAGAGGTTTTGTACTAGAATAAAACAAAATCGGCAAAGAGTAATGCGTTGTTAAAAAGATATGATAGTAAAACTACATACAGACCAGTTAACTTTATCAATGACAATGACAATCCAATCGCCACATCCACGTGCGGGCATTGTCTGATATAAATAAATGTATACTAGGCAAAAAAAGAAACGTTACCCTGGTTTTTATTTAAAGAAATTACATAAACTAATTAATAATATTTTCAAGATTACAACTAGTGACGTGAATGATTTACTATTTTGTTAAAAATTCGAAGACGACGTTACGTCATTTTCTGATTTCAAACAAATAAGCTTTTTTTTAAACATTTACCTGTATAGAACTGGAATTGAGTTGTCCTTTTGATCATTAGATGTGTCGAGCGCTATATTGTTAACAAAAGGTCGCATTAAAAAATTGAAAAAGTTACACGTAAGTCAATGCCACGTCTACGTCATAATGAGAGAGAACGAGCTATTGGGATGTTGGCAGCAAAAATGACTCTTATACAGGTTGCAAATCATCCCAATGTCTCTAGAATAACTATTGAAAGGCTTAAGACTCGTCTTAGAGATACTGGCACGACAAATAATCGTCCCCGAGATTGCAGGCAACGTAAAACGAAGTTACGTCAAGAGAGGCACATCCGCATTATTCATCTCCGGAATCGATTTGTAAACGTGTCACAAACAGCATGTCAAACTCATGGAAGAAACAACAACAGGCTATATTTCCAAACAGTTTCTAACCAACTGCATCAAGTTGGCCTAAGAGCTCGTCGTCCGTTAAAGGGACATATCTTTTCGCAGCGTCACAGGATGTCGCGACTTGCATGGACTCGGGTACGGATTCGATGGAATAGGCTTACATGGAGACAAGTCCTTTTTACCGATGAATCGAAATTCAACTTGACATTTAGCGACGGCAAAGCCAGGGTCTACCGGAGGTTCAATGCATGATTTTCTGATGCGTGCGTACAGGAAACGGATCGGTTTGAGGGTGGCGGAATAATGGTATGGGACGGCATAACCTACCAGGAACGCACCGATCTGACAATTATTGAAGGTAACCTGAATGCAAAAAGGTATAGGAACGAAATTCTGGCTCCACTCGTTCTCCCGTTTCTCCGAAGGCATCGTTTTAACCACGTGTTTCAGCAGGACAACGCCCGTTGTCACGTGGCACACATTTCAATGATTTTTGGAGAATAATCACATTCGTGTGTTGCCGTGGCCAGCAATGTCTCCAGATTATAGCCAATGGAACATCTTTGGGACGAATTTGGACGACCCATCAGAAAGAGCCCAAATCCATCGGAAACGCTCGCCCATCTCCGAATAGCACTTTTCAGGGGATGGAACAGCACAAAGGGCCATTGATAAAGAAGGATGATCATGGGTAGTTTCTTCAAATACTGGAACATGAACGACAACCATATCACCATTCTGAAAGCTCCGAGGGCCAGTTCAGATGCTGTAATGAAATGGTGGGTCATTAAAAAAGTAAAAGAAAGCACGTATGAAACCTAGTGCGACCAGATTTAAACGGATATAGAATGAATGAAGATAGAATATGATGCAGCAATCAAAGAAAATGAGAAAAAATAATGGACAAGCTGGACAAGTGTGACCACAAACTCAAACATGCAGAATCATTTGATTAGTTAACTTCACGAAAATAAAATGACAGAGGACAAGGTGATGAATGTTTGGTATGCAAAGAAATAGGAAGAACAAGAAAGAGAAATTCACTAGATTGACGGAGTGAGATGTGTTAAAATAAACTAGAGTAGATATCGAAACCTTAAAAATTGAGGGTAATACGTTGCATCATAATCATACCTCTCGTTAATACCACACACATGACGTTTACTATGTGCCGCACTTACTGTAATGTCACGTCACTTTGACATGTTACTATGACTAGTACATCTATCACATATTCAAGAAGTCTTTTATTTCTATCTTAAGAAGGGAAAATGGATACAAAGCTGAAAGCCATTCGTTCCGGACACAAACGAGCACTTACAAGACTTTGGAAGAATTTTAGAGACATAACTGCAGAGATAGTTTCGATATAGAAATAGAGGAAGTCACAGCTATTT